GCTTATTCATGAGTCTTCACAGAAGTAAAAGTGAACGTTGTCTATTTCTGTGTTTAGCACACATTTTATAAGGTTTTACAGGGTCCGCAGGCTAAGCAAGTTACTATTGGCTAATACACACAGGTTTACATTTTTTCTCCTGTACACAAGGATATTGTTTTGCCTTATTCTCTCTCCTGCAGGAAAGTTCCAAGGACTTTGGTCAGTAATATCATGACTTAATTCAAAGGCCGGTTTGTGCAGACAGGCCTTTACTAACATATCATGCCCACCTTCTACTAAAATATTCCCTACACTTTTCCCCCTTTTTTGCACAAGCCAGGCTTTGGATGCGACTCGTTGTACACTTTTGCAAAGACAAGATAACATACAACTTAAAAGCATCATCCCAATTAACACTATAAGTAAAATCCATCCCCCTTCTAGCACAAGAGACCTCAACCATCCAGTGATGCCCCAGCTGGCAAACCAACTTCTAATGGGGTCACTATCTTCTTTTAGGGCATGTAACCCATCAACCCGTAGTTGCAGTTGCTTATGGATGGAAACTGAATGATCAGTAAGATTGAAGCAGCACATGCCTTCAAACTCTTCACAACCATGTCCTTGTGCTAAGAGCAAAAAGTCAATTGCAGCTCGATTCTGTAATACTGCATGACGTACGCTACTCACATTGGCTGAAAGTTCACTTAACATTGTTGATGTTAAATTCAATTCTTTCCTAGTCCAACAAGCGAGCCTTTTTAGAGTTGCTAAGCCTTTAGCAGCAGCTGCTCCTGGAATAAAGAAGGAGGCTGCCCATATTATACCACGATTCCAGAAGTCTGGGTCTCTAATATCATTACATTGTAATTCATTTAGGCTTCACTTTGAACATTTGATGTTTTTTATTTTGTTAGCTACATTTAACAATTGATGTAAGCTTGGATGGAACAAAGTAAGTTTCCCAAGATAACAGGGACCTCCATGTGGACTAGCAGGAATTCCATTCCATGCTCTGTCTTCACAGATTAGGAATATGGAACTAGGTAATCGCTTTGTTAATTGTCCTGTGAGATTGCACTGTGAATAAAAGGCTTTACTTTCAGTGTGAGTAACGAGATCAACTATAGAGTTGACTGTTGCCCAGTGCTGCATTACTTTGTTAAAATGGCTTTTTGTCAGGGGTTCAAACATTATCCATCCACCTGAGGTATTGGTGGAACCTAACAAATCTAATTCTTCTGGGGGCTCTATGGTAACATTGAGAACTTCAATGATTTTTACTTGCCAGCAGGCTTCAAGTTGTCTTGATGTGAGGCCAATAGTGCGATTGCACTCTTGCAACATTGCCAGTCGATTCAGTCAAGTCTCGTTACTAACTAAACCTTTAAATGCTTGAGGTTCTCATTCAGGGACTCCTATGAGACAGGTGCGAAAAGGATCTCCAGGTGTGGCTAGGCTCAAACATACTGATTTTTGGCCTGTCAAGCGTGCTAGAGTGACCCCTATGTTCTGTTGCTTTTGGATGTTAGTTAGGAGACAGTTGGCTGGGATTGTACACAGCACAATTGCCATAAGCAGTTTGTTCCATGCAAATGATACCATGCTTGCAGACTCACAATTAAGGCTTTAATGTTAAATGAACTTTCAAATATGCTTATACTAACTCCTGAAGGGGGAATACTTATACTTTATACTAATACCTTTCTAAGCTTGTCAATAACCTACAAATAACCATTCCCACACAAACTAAAACTCTTTATCTTAAACTATTATCTAACTACTTTTAACACACCTGCTCTGGTATATATGTAGTCTAAGCATGAAGGCAATTTGCTGAAAGGGTAAACACACAACACAATTTGCTTTATATACAGTTAGATGGAGTCTCAACACTTTCCTTAGATCTTCTACAGAATTTCTCTCACAGACAGACTATCATTTAACACGATTCAGTCTTGAAACATCTGCTGTTCTCATGATGTCAGCTGGCAGCCGATCAGAGACTGACTGAGGGCATCAACACTCTTGTTCTTCAAATCCTTTGTGGCTGGTTTGGTCCATTGGCTAGGCACCCATAGTGGTCCAGCATCTGTGGAAACACAACTGTAACCATGCCCGTTAAATAGCAATGGATTTGGTCCCTCCCAGATACCTGTCTTTGGATTCTTATAATATAATTTAATTTCTGGGATAGCTTGCATCTTTACTTGACTATTATGAATTACCACCAGGGGCTGCTCTAAATCTCAAACTAAACTGAGGAAATTTAGAGTGAATAACACTTGCTGTAATCAAATGGTACGGTCTGATTGTTTCAGGTGTTTTCTTTTTACTTAAATACTCTTTTAAGGTCTTATGGGCTCTTTCTACAATGGCTTGTCCAGTTGACACAGGGGGAATTCCAGTTACATGTTTGACTCCCCGTTTTTGTAAGGACCGAGAAACTCATGTTCCTACATATGCAGACCCATTGTCTGTTTTAAGTTCTTTTGGAACTCCCATTACAGCAAAGCACGCTACTAAATGTCGAATTACATGTATGCTTATCTCTCCTACTTGTGCAGTGGCCCAAATCATTTTTGAAAAGGTATCTACTGTAACATGTACATATTTGAGGCGACCAAATTCAGGCCCATATGTTACATCCATCTGCCAGATCTCACAGGCTTGAAGGCCTCTAGGGTTAACACCTAAGCCTAGAGTGGTTCTGTATTGACTGCATTGTGGACAGGATTTTACAATGCCTTGTGCATCTATTGAGCTGATACAAAATTGTCTCTGTAAGGCTTTTGTGGCTTGATGAAAGAGAGCATGACTCTCTCTTGCAGCTGCGAAAGAGTCTCTTGGTGCTGCAACAACAAGACTGACAAGCGTATCAGCTTTTGCATTACCTTCTCTGAGACCTAATTCTGTTTGATGACTGCTGATGTGAATGATGCAACAAGATTCTTTTCTGTCCTCAATAGCTCTTTTGATTTGCAAGAATAGTTGACACAATCACTTATTATCTGGTGGCTTGATGAGAGCATCTTCAATACGTTGTACCACTCCTACCACATATAACAAATCTGATACAATGTTCAGCTCTCTGTCTCGCCAGTGAGACAGTGCCCATGAGATGGCTGTAAGTTCTAATGTCTGCAGTGAGTCATGTGCATCTCCATCTATGGTTTTGCTTCTCCAACTCGAACCTTCTCGCCAGGTACAGGCTGATTTTTTCTGTCGATTTCCTGTGTCAGTATATACTGTAAGGCCTTTCACTGGCTGCTGCACTACTTTGGGCTGTTGCAACCACTGCTCCTTTAGGATGATCTGTGGGCGTGGATCTTTAGATTGCCTGTTGTGTACAGTTGCTGGATAATTGAGCAGCACTAATTGAGTCGGTTCTGAGTGTCTCAGCATCTACCCTAAGTTTGCTTTCTTTATCAGTAGACTAATATGTTCTGGCTCAGCACCACTAATTTCCACAATTCACATTCTCACTTTTTTGATGAGATAAGCAATTGCTTCTGTCCTCTGTGAAATACTCATTGGTGGCATATGCGGTGTCAAAATCCACTCAAGGATTGCCAAAGGCTCTGCACATTTCCTTGCTAATTTCACTGACTGTACCTTCTTGACAGGCTGCTTGGCATCTTGACAGCTCTCAAGTGGGTCTTCTCCCCCTTTCTCTTTTTGCCAAGCAGGCCACTGGCATATGATAGCACATGGGGCAATAGGATCGTTACAAATCAGAAGTCCCAAAGGCACATCTGGCAATCTTCTGTCTGCTAACTTTGAAAGCAGTTTCTTCCCTAGATATTGGAGACATTCCTTCTGTTTTACAGAAAGGGTAATCAGAGTTTGTGGATCTGTGCCTTTTAAAAGTTCCATTAAAGGTGTCATCATTTTGGATACCAGCAATGGATCGTACCCATTGCAGATCTCCAATAAGTCTCTGTGAGTCATTAAGGGTGTTGATCTCAGTAGTCAATTCTAATTCCTGTGGGTGGACTGATGAAGATGTCAGAATCCACCCTAAATACCTCCATGGAGCTTGCTTTTTACTTTTCTCTGGGGCAACCACTAAGCTTTTTGCTGTGAGTTGAGTGGTGATAAATGCAAGATCTTCATCTCAGAATGGATCCTGTTGACAGAACAAGATATCATCCAGTTAGTGATAGATAATTGTCTGAGAAAGCTTTGCAAGCACAGGTGTCAGTGCCCGGTGTACAAACAGTTGGCACATTGTTGGAGAATTTTTCATCCCCTGTGGAAGGACCACCCACTCAAATCTCTGAGATGGACTTTCTTAATTGATTGATGGTAAGGTGAAGGCAAATCACACTGTGTCCTCTTTTTGCAGGGGTATTGTGAAGAAACAGTCTTTCAAATCTATAATTAGAAGATGTCTTTCTTGTGGCAACATTGTGGGAGAGGGCTTCCCAGGTTGTAATGCTCCCATTGTTCACATCTGGTCATTTACCTTGCGCAGATCATGCAACAATTGCCATTTCCCAGATTTCTTTAGAATTACAAAGACTGGAGTATTCCATGGGCTGAGTGATGGTTGGATGTGCTTCACTTGTAGCTGTTCTTTAACAAGTTCATGTGCAATTGCCAGCCGCTCCTGAGAGAGAGGCCACTGCTCAACCCACACAGGTTCATTAGATTTCCCCTGAATCCTTGGGGTTGGCAGCCTGTCAGCAGTGTGACTGCTGAAAAAGCGATTGAATAGGAAGAGTTAGTATTGCCCTGAGCTGGCTGAGAACATCTCAACCAACAAGCCCTCCAAGGCTCCCAGGCAAAGGCATGATGTATGGACATAAGGTGGTAGTCTGTCCTTCAGGAAATCAAAACTGAATTGGATGTATGCTTCTCAGCGGTGTGGAGTATCCTCCTACTTAAGGCTCTGTGGAGAGGCCACTCTTTTGGCCACCAAACTCGGCTGACGATGGTAACATCAGCTCCTGTGTCTAACATCATCTTGACTCTTTGCTGTTTCGTTCTCTGGCACAGGGTGATTCAACTACTGGTCAATGGTTCATCTGTTGAATGAGATTCACCACTGTGTCTCCTCTAGATCCAAATCCTCTGGCTCCACGTCTAGGAGCACTTTGAAAAATATCTTTCGCAGTTGCCACCTTTTGAAACAACACCAATTGAGCAATTCTTGTCCCTTTTCTAATCGTGAGTGGAGGAGCTAAGGTGTAGGCACAAACTTGGATTTCACTTGTATAATCAGCATCAATAACTCCTGGGAGAAAAATAAGTCCTGCAACTCCAGCAGATGATCTCCCAATCAACAAAGCACCAAATTCACTGGTGGCAGAATAGATGGGTCCTGTAACTCCAGTTGGGATTTTATGGATGGTATTGTTGATGAGAGTGACATCTGCTGATGCTGCCAAATCGATTCCCAGGCTTCCTCTGGTTGCTGGTGGGTTGAGCTGCTGAATAAAGTTGAGCCAGCTACTTGTGTCCCCGCGCGGAGGCTCTTCGCGCTCTTGCACATGTTTTTTGCATGACGACATACAACAGTAGCATGACTGTCTAACTAACCATCGATCACACCATACAGTAGCTCGACAGGACCTTTGAAGGTATCCTCTGTCACCACATCGATAACAAACGTTTGGAGGTGTAGTGAAAGGTTTATGTCCACTTCCCAATTTTCTGACTGCAGCAGCAAGTAGACTTGTAGTTGGTTTGATGGCTTCTGCAACTGCATTGGCTACAAGTTGTCCTTGTTAATCCTCTGATTAACTCTCAGGGCAATATCTAACATGTCTCCCACATCTGCTTGTTTTGGGAGTGTGGCAAGGATACGCTTTATTTTTGAGTTAGCATTCTCAAAAGCTAACAATTTAAACGTGTTCTGTTTTGCCTCCTCAGTCATGTCATTCTGAGCCTTCAGGGCTGCTGACAGACAGTCAATGAAATGAGGATACAGTTCCATGAGGCCTTGCTGTACTGTTGTAAAGGAACAATGAGGTTTCGAATCAGGCACAGCATTGAAGGCTTGATGAGTGAGCAGTGCAGACAAATGATGCATTGCAAGGGGGTAGTTCAACTGTACATATGACTGTAAATTCCTGAACCAGTGAGCATGTCAGGATTAAGTCCATACAGTACATCATTTTGATCTCGAGGTGGATTAGCTTCTAAAACTGCTAACCTTTTACATTCCTTCTCCCACACCATAAGGTGTGATGGAGTTAAAGGCAGACGTGCGAGATTTTGGTTGTCTATGGGACTATTAGCATCAGAGGTGAACAGCCAATCCAATGCAGGGTTTGCAGCTTCAGATTTAATGCCATGTTCAGTAACTGTCTTTTTGACTTGCTGCAAGATCTTCCAGTCATGTTGTTCATATTGTGGATTTTGCTGATCGACAAGTGATTGAGCCTGCTGCTTGCCGTTCTCATTCAAGGATTGCATCTTGAATGATGCCAGTCCACCTTTGCTGTGATCTGTTTTCTGTTCTCTTCCTCCAGGGTAGTAGAATTAGAGCTGAAACAAGATTGTGGTGTTAACAGTGTCTCCAAAGGTGGAGCAGATGGTTCAGGATGCAGCATGTGCTGCAGTTGCTGAACTGACTCTGTTTGCTGCCTGGGTATTTGCTGCAGAGCTGTTTTCTCTTGCTGATGCTGTGCTCTGGTTGCACGTAGGGTCTGCTCAATCTGACCTTGCACGAGCTGCTCTATTTGTTGTTGCCATTCCAGTAGCTCTTTCTTTGATGTATCATTGCCATTAGTTGGCTCTTCTCCTGCTAGAGGCCATCCGTCATCGGAGTGCATTGACATCTGGGAGGAGCGGAATGTCTTGTGGTCTTCCCCAGTGAACAGTAGACGGCAGTGAAGGATAGATCTTGGGTTTGCACTCTGTGGCTCTCACTTCTGCTGATGTGTCAGGCTCTGCCTGGCTGGAATTGGCGCCTGCTCCTTCTGGGGGAGCCGTCATTTCTACATTCACATTCGGCAAGGTAACTTCCAGTTTGTGCTCCACCAGAGTGGGCGCAGCCACACCTAAGAGGGCTCTGCTGACGCAGATGTAGCCGCATTGGAGCACCCCTGAGATTTTAAAAGTTCCGATATGGTGCTACACTGCCTTCCTGTGAGCCCCTTTGCTGGCCAAACGTGCCCAACCCCAAAGAAAGCACCCAGACAGCTGATTGATGTGGCAGGAGCTAACTGCTGCGGCACGTCGGTTTCAGGCCAAGCCATGGCTTCTAAAGCGGTGGCTGCAACTGAGGACTCTGCCTTCATATCTCTTAAGGTATTCAACACAATTTTCCATATCGAACCGAGCGCTACCACGTCTTTACTCTTTTCCATAATTGCTGTTTCCCACATCAGATCCCCTATATCCATCCATTCTTCAACTGCAAAAAGCAGTGGGGGCACGGTTAAGTGCCCATGATTTTTAGCCCATACAATGAGCTTTTCCAGGTCCTTTTCCTTGGCTGCTCCACCTCTTAAAACGATAATACTCAGAAGCAGTTTTTTCGCCACTGCAAATTCAACCTCCATGCTAGTGGCACACGGCGGGGGGAGGGTCGTGACCCCTCACTTACTCCTCTGCCTTCGGTCTCCCCCAGCAACCTGACTCCTTTTTCCATGTCTCATCACGCCGCATCTCACCACGCTCAGGTCGCCTATCCAGTACCGATCCACGTCCGCGGCTTCCCGTGCCCAGATCCGCTCCGCCAGCTTCACCACTGAATCCCCTCAGCCCATGAGAGGTTCCTGTTAGGAGCGCCAGATATTGAGAGACCTCCTGCTTATTCATGAGTCTTCACAGAAGTAAAAGTGAACGTTGTCTATTTCTATCTTTAGCACACTTTTTATAGGGTTTTACAGGGTATGTATTATCGTATTATATATATATATATATATATATTATTAATATATATTATTAATATATATAATATATATAAATAATATAATAATTATATTATATATAATTATATAATATAATTATTATAATAATATTATAATATATATTATTAATATATATTATTATATATATAATACTTGTATTAGCAAGTTACTATTAGCTATTACACATAGGTTTACATTTTTTCTCCTGTACACAAGGATATTGTTTTTCCTCATTCTCTCTCCTGCAGGAAAGTTCCAAGGACTTTAGTCTTTAATATCACGACTTATTTCAAAGGCTGATTTGTGCAGACAGGCCTTTACTAACATATCATGCCCACCTTCTGTTAAAATATTATCTACATTCCATGTACTTTTGTTTACAGAGATGTCAGATTTCATGCTGAGAATGTGACAGCTTCCCTCCACCTACCTATAGCCCAGCCTGACCCTCTGTTCATCTGGCTCTACAGTACCACTGTGCTGTATCTGCCAAAGACCCCTTGTTAGCTCTGCCGAGTCCCACTACCTGAGAGCTCCCTTCCTCCTTTATCCTTCACCCCCCTCTCACAGCTCCACTACAGAATAAATAACAGCAGTCCTGAGAGAGAAATATGGGACCTGTTAGAAGATGATGAGAAAGAAGAGATCAAACACAGGAGGGTAGAGAGGAGCACAGGAGCAGTCAGTGCTCTCAGGGTTGATGCATAGGGAGTGATGATGAATTGCAGCCCCTGAACTCTGAGATGTCTAATCACACATAGTTCTTGAGGCCGGTGAAAGAATGGTGCCTCCGACACCTATGGACTAATATGTACTTTGGATACATAGGATCCAATGGACCAACTCAAATGGACTAATTTGTACTTTGAATATCCCTGGTTTAGCCAAGGAGTCTCTGTCTTTTCTCAGATGGGACAGGCTCAGGGCATGTGTTGTGCTCAGACCTCCTGACAAAATCAAGAGAGTGCAGGAGTCCAGAAATGCAGAGACATTTCTCTGTCTATTCAATTCTTTAAAAAATACATCAGTCACATATAATATTGACAGAAGGGCTTCCAAATATCCCTGAGCAAGCCAAAATTTGTAAGAAATTAAGGAGAAAATAGAAAAATATTTGATGTATCACTGAGGTGAAAATATAGATTTTAAGAGGGTTTCACACATGGAGGAAAGATGGAGGAAAAAGGGTGTAATTTTTAATCCTTCTTCTTCCTTCTTCTCCATGCTTCTGCAGTTTTTAGAAGCACAAAGAATGATTGGTTTAGAGTTAGTCACACTTTTAATTACGTGAGTAGAAATAGAAAACTTACTTGTTAAGATGTAATAACAATACACGTGTCTGCAGTTAATAGGGTAAAAATTAGTATAAAGGTGAAAAGACAACGTGGTTCGAGGCCATTTTGTATCATCAGAACGAAATGAGCCAGGCAGTGGTGATTTAAGCTTGTGCAGTCAGTCTGGAGAGACCTGCCGAGTTTTGTAAGGATCCTTCAATAAACACGAGAAACCAGAATCTAATGAGCCCAGGAGTTTTCTTTGAATAGTAAGAACTGAGATAAGTGGTACTCCCCATGAGGGAGGATCCCAAAAGAATTCAGCCCAAAGGAGGCTGAGACAGACTATAGAAAAATTAAAGAGAGCACTCTAAGGAACAGCCACACTTTAAAGATTAAAGGTCCATGTCGGACTGCACATTCAGGCTCTCCTCTGAGAGCAGGGGATAACACAGATTACCAAACCTCACCCTGCAGAAGTTATGTTGATTGTCAGCTGTCGGCAAAGAAAGAAAGAAAACATTCTCCTCTTAAAACTAGAAAGGGGTGAATGGGCTGGCTTTCTTCTTCACCCTTTCTCTCAAGAATAGGATGTGTAACCAGGTTATGGGTAAAAGGTAGGCCAGAGTGATTAAGTGTATTGCAATGATGTTGTACCTGCTTGGTATTTTCCACATTACTTTTGTATGTGACAGCTTATGATGGGAAGACTTGTACTAAATGTGTATTCTGTTTCCAGCAGCTCCCATATTAACACTTAGATGGGCATATACGTGTCAGGTTAAGATGACAGTTTTTACAAAGAAAAAATTATAAAAGCAGTTCTGGGATAAAAGGCTTCTCAGTAATGCCTGGACTGCTGAACAGTGGGATGTGGTGAATACTGGGGTGGCATATCCTTCACAAGAGACTATTGTCTCAGCCTGCAGCAGCAGGATGAAGTCTCATTTGCAGAAAATTATTATTTCTGTGCACCTTTGGTCTCAATCATTCCTGCTTTATTCTGGAAAGGACCTAATCACAAACTCCCTGATATGGTTTGGCATTTAGGAAAAAAGTGGGAAATATTCATGACAGTGACTCCTCTAAGAGATGCTGCTGGGAGTTTCTTATCTGCTGGAGACCTGGCCATTAGCTGGCCTTTTCTGAGAATTGACAGCATTTTTCGACACTGAAAAGAGAGATCACCTTTGTGGATACCACCTTTTAAACCTAACTCCAGGAGCTTCTGTCTCTGTCTTTCCAGCCTTGAAAGGTAACAGAGCTCTGATGTGGCTGTCCCCTTGCGCCCCCGCGGCCTGTCCGACCTAGCCTAGCGGGGGCTGGGCCAGAGCCCTGCAGCTCCCAGGTGGGGAGCCTGTGACCCACCCCCACCAC